AAACTCCTGACCTCAAGTGATCCTCTTGCCTTGGCCTCCCAGAGTGTTGGGGTTACAGGTGTGAGCCATGTACTGGCTGGAAAAAGAAACTTTAATGACTATATGCTATTTCACTGTGTGAAGGTATTTTATTACCTTGTTTAAAACAAATTCTTTAGATTACTGTAAATGGCGTTGTGGTAAATATCCATGGACACATCTTTTTGAAAATTTTATATGATTCTCTTATTAATATTCCTAGAAGGGGAATTGCTAGATCAAAAGTGCAATTAGATTATTTTAAAATAACTGCTTGGCAGGCCAGATCATATTCTTTATCCAACAGTATTAAGCTGTAGTTCCCAGAAACGTAATTCTTTAAAATCTCTCCCATGAAACTCAAGGGTAAAATGTACACAAGTGTGTTTTGCAGATGATTACAGGAATATTAAACATTCAGCTAAGTGTAGAGTGATGACTCCTGTTCAAAGAACAAACAGTTCTCAGCTGCACTATATAGCTCTCTCTGAAGTTTCTTATTCTAAGGGCCTATGATAACACTAAATAGAGCACTTTTCAGATGTTTCGTATAATCTATCTGAATTATTGTTTTTCGGAGCCAGCTGCAGCAGGATTGCTTCTGTAACAACTTGATCAACTTTACTGGGTGAAGAGGTGCCACTAGCTACATCAGTGCTTGATGAGCTCTTTGTCATGAGTCAGATGACTTAAATCAAGCCATGATGCATATTAAGAGGGAAGTGCTGTGCCCAAGGGAATGGAATCAAAGCTGTAGATTGCATGGGAATACTTCTGTATTATTAGGGTGACCTTCCATCGTGGTTTGAGACTGAGACATTTCCCAGGATGAAGATGTTTATATATATCCTAAAGATTACATGTTTCATGCTAATTATAGATGAGGTAGCAAATATTTAGACATATAGTAAAATCATGTTTTTTGTATAGTGCTCTATTTCTGAAAATCAGCAAAGATTTGGGTAATGGCTATAAATGTTTCATGCTTTTAAATACTTTGATAGTATGATGTCTGAAATTTTAATTATTGATATACTTTTATGTAACAAAATTAATGAAATAACTGTATGGACACTGTCTATGGGATAATGGTAAACATAAATTACTCTAAATAGAGTCAATTAGAGAAACTGTTTTTTTTTATTCTTTTGAGACAGGGTCTCACTATGTTGCTCAGGCTGGAGTGCAGTGGCTGTTCACAGGTGCGATCATGGATCATGGTACACTTCAGCCTTGAACTCCTGGGCTCAAGCAATCCTCCTGCCTCAGCTTCCCATATAGCTGGGGCCATAGGCACCCATGATGACCTTTTTCTGAGCAAACTGAGAAGCTGTTCTTGGATTCTCTGAGATTCTAGCTGTATTTAAGTTCTTTAACAGAAACCAAGAAAAGTGCCTAGCTTTTTAGTTTTTAAATATTGTACAAGGTAATTGTGTAGACTGTTTCTATATCAATTTTACATTGTTTTTATTTATGTGTAATACAACATGATAATGTACAAATTTGACCCAGGTCCTAAAAATGGTAAGAATAAGAAATTAGTGTGCAGTTTAGCCATGTGCAGAAGACTTCAGTGATGTATGTTACTTTGGAGATTTGATATATAATCCTCAGGTACTTATGTCCTGTTTCCCATTGGCATCGTTTACAAGCAACTCTGGAAGGATGATTTCAGTTGATTCCCAGTTTAGTGCTTTTGTATCCATCCGTATCCTTTTGAGGAAGGTTTCTGAGGCCATGCTTATTTTTCATTGTGTTCAGCTTTGCATTTGCAGTGCTTGAGTGTGATGCTTAGTTTTGTTGTCCATTATAATATCTGTTTTTCTAGGACTTGTTCTTTTATCCTATAGCATTTTTCAATGTCTTGTGATTAAACAATTCAAGTCATATAATGTAACTCTCATATATATCATAATTCATATTTTTCTTATCAGCCTGAACCTTACTCTGTATAGGTTTATATCTCCAACTGCTTACTTGACATTTTTCACTTGGATTCATGTCTGACATGCATTTCAAACCTAATTTGACCCAAACTGAGCTCCTTATATTTCTCCTTGTATACTAGTTGCTCTCACTATCTTTTCTATATCAGATAATGGTAGTCCCATCCTTCTAGGTGCTCAGACCCCAACGCCTGATGTCATTTTGTTTCTGCCTTTTTTCTTTTATCTCAGATTTGGTCTATTTGGAAATCTTGTTTGCTCTATTTTCAAAATATATTGGAAATTTAACTACTTCTCATCACCTTTACTGCTAACACTTTGGTCCACATAAGTACCAAGGGCAGGTTGTTTGTCTGTTTTGTTTACTGCTGTGTCCCTTAGTGTCTAAATGATGTATGTCAGCAGTATTTACTAAGTAAATATTTGTTAAATGAATCAATGAATGAATGGAAAAAACAATGTTTGTTTTGATTATTATTCAGTGCCTCAACTTGAAAAAAATAGGATTGATCCAATAGAATCAGATTTATATAACATGGACATGCTTGAGGATAATGTCATGAGTAACTGTGCTTGAATGCTTTTGGAACAAATATTCAGTAGCTGTTGTATGCTAGGGATTATTTTTTGTGAATAAACAAGGAATACAGCTGAATAGCAGTTGACATAGTGCTGTTAACTGACAAAATATGAGAATAGAGCTGTACAATGAAAGTTGAGCTTATTAATCTTTCACTCTAAATAGAAGATGAACTATAAAACCTTCAAACATGACTGGCCTTGTGAAATTAAATACTGTCAGCTATGTATACATATGATTAGAACCACCGCTTTTCTTTAGGAAGTTAATGATAAATCTAGGGAAACTACATACTTATTCATATCAATTCAGGAAGATCTTAGAGGTTGCCTGTGAAGCATTTATAAAGTTTGCCGCAGTTGTTTCTGTTAGCTTAACTTTATTCCAGTTTTCCAGTGTTATGTTAGTTATTGGTACATAACAAACTATCTAAAAATTAAGTGGCATAAAGCAACAGGCATTTATTATCTCAGAATTTCCATGGATCAGAATCTAAGAGCAGCTTAGCTAGAGGTCTCTTAGTCTGTTATGTAGTTGCAGTCAAGATAGTGGGGATATTGAGCACTGTTGCAGTCTCAACTGAAAGACTGACTAGGCGGGGCATGGTGACCCACACCTGTAATCCGAGCACTTTGGGAAGTCAAGGCAGGAGGATCATGAGGTCAGGAGTTCGAGACCAGCCTGACCAATATGGTGAAACCCCGTCTCTGCTAAAAATACCAAAATTAGCTGAGCATGGTGGCATGCACCTGTAGTCCCAGCTACTCGGGAGGCTGAGACAGAATAGCTTGAGCTCAGAAGGTAGAGGTTGCAGTGAGCCAAAATGGTGTCATTTCATTCCAGTCTGGGCAACAGGGGAGACTCCACCTTGAAACAAACAAACAAAAACTGACTAACTGAGGAGGTGGGAGATCTGCTTCCAACTGCAGTTAGTGGTTTTGGCTGACCTCACTAACACCATAGTTCTTTCACCTAGTGGCCTCTCTACAAGGCTGACGTGTGAAGTGACCGTTGACTTTCCCCAGGGTAATCTATCTACAAGAGACTGAGAGACTGCATGCAAGATGGAAGTCACAGTCTCTTTATAATCTCAACTCAGAAGAGACATCCCATCACTTTGACTGTGTTCTGTTCATTAGAAGTGATTTAGGGCCTGGTGTGGTGGCTCACATCTGTAATCCCAACCCTTTGGGAGGCTGAGGCTGGAGGATTGCTTGAGCCCAGGAGAATATAACTTTGTTAACTTTAGTTTGTAAAACTAAAAGAATGAGATTAAATGGGATTACTGTACTAACACCAATCGAACAAATGCCTTCAACATTAGAAGACCATTTCAAGTATTGTGAAAAGCCACTACTTAAGGAAGAATAGGTCCAAGATTTTCTTCAAGGAGGTGACAAAAGCCCAAAGCAAGCAGACAACTGCTAACTTGTTTTGTCACAGCCAATTAAGATCCTCAAGTATCTTTAAGACCAACAAATAATGTAATTCTTGGGATTTTTTTGTTTCTGTTATTGCATTTGTTTTGATATGTTACTGTATTTGGTATTTAAAATGAAGGAGAGCTGAGAACTCTGTTCCTACCAGAACCAAAGCACCTGTCTATAGGCAACATTTAGAGTAATTTATGTTAAAATAGTTACTAAACAAAAGATCAGCAGCCTTTTTCCTGTTTCCTTTAGTTGATTGCAAGCTCTTCATTCAAGAGTTGGGTCTTTTGACTTCCCGAAGACCAGTAACTTGACTTCCCAAAGACCAGTAACTCCAAATATTGTGCTTGATTTGTAGCGGGCCCTAAGAAAATTTTGTCCGACTTAATAAAACTTCTTTCTAATGAATATTTCCCTCTCTTTTTTGCTATTTGAGAAAAAATTTGTTAGTTTGTTGATGTCTCTGTAGAAGCTTTTCACACAACGCTTGGCATGTAACAAACACTTAATAAATGTTCCTTACTCTTTTGTGGAAGAAACATACTAAATCTCTATGTAGTGTTAAGTACTTTCCGGCATGCAGAACTAATCTTTAATAGTGCATGGGTGTTATATATTTTTAAGCCACCTTAAATTTAAGAAGTGCATAAGTTGGCTGTCGCTTAAATTCCTACATATTTTTTACCATTACTAACTCTTATCTTGATTTATAATTGAAAGTAATTTTTGACTTAATTTTAAAAACGAAATACTTAGGTGATTCTGTTTTTCTCTTACCACCTTCATTTTCCAAAAACAAAACAAATATTTGACACTGCTTAATCCAAGATCTTTTTTTGTGTGTGGAAAAGGAAGTTTCTTGTAAATTACTACGATTATTACTATTGATGTGCATGTGCTTTCTACTTATAAACTAATGCTATTTTCCTTGTCCTTTTGTTTCACTGCTGTTTCCATCCTGATGCATTTTGCTTCTTCCTGATTTGGACTGTATTTGTTTGCTGCTCAATTACCCTGCATTAAAAGCTTCTTGGTGATAGCAAAGATGTCCTTGGTCCATCAAGTAAGTAGCTAAAGTTTGAACGGCTTGTTTGGGGACATGATAATATTTTGACGTGTAATTATGATGAAAGCCAAATGGTGTTTCAATTTTGAATTATTAAGTCTTCTACTTTTCTTTCCAGGTATTGAAATACAAAGTAAAGAATATAAATGGTCATTTAGTACCCAGTGCCCATCTGTTCTTATTGTCCATCTGAAATTTACAGGCAGTGTTTGTATATTTATGTCTTAATTAAAGATGCATTATTTACTTAATTATCTAACTTAATAATTCGGGACTCTTCTTCATAGTATTTCTTCCTACAGTTATTACAAGGCATAGATATAGCACAAGGATTTCACTGCCATTTGAAAGGGAGAAACGCTTTTGTCAGAATTTTTACATAATCATTTGAGTGTGAAAATTGTTTTATACTTGGGTATTTTAGAAGTGAAACATGTTTTACCTTAGGGATTTAGAAGATGTGTCCTTGAAAATTATATTCAAATCACCTCAACAGATTTTACTGAGCTTTTTGGGGCAGGGAGTGGCAGACACTGTGCCAACTTTTGGAGATACATAATGAATAAAACATGATTCCTGCCCCTAAAAATTTTTATAGTCTAGCTAGGGAGTAAGAGGGGCAATTTTTATATTAAAAATCATAGAATTGCTGAGGTGAAAGGAACCTCAGAGATTATCTAATAAAGCATTAATTTTGTAGAGGAGAGCCTGAAGCTAGGATAGCACAAATATCCGAGAAGTTAGAATTGGTTACTAGTGCAGTGTGTCTTCCTTCTAGGGTTATTCAAAAATAGAAGGAAATTGTTTGCTGCATTCAGGTATAACTAAACAGTTAAAATTTGACTATCATTAATAAGGTGAAGATTTTAATTTTATTGATTAGCAATATAGGAAATTATATTGATTTAGGAAGTTTTATTATTAATTCTTAATTACCTGATTATTGCAAGTCAGTTTACTGTTCTGGGACTTATATTTCATTGATCTAGGAAGGGAACTGAATGAGATAGTGGTAAAGGCTTCTTCTAACTATAAACATCTTTAATCTAGATCAGTTGCTGTTTCTCTCTAACTGGTTGTAGTATGTATGTATTTTGTTTTCCAGAAAGAGAGGATTTAAAGTAATATGCTAAATTCCTTTTTTTAATTCTTATTTTTTAGAGATAGAGGACTCACTCTGTCACTCAGACTGGAGTACAGTAGCATGATCATAACTCACTGCAACCTTGAACTTCTGGGCTCAAGGGATCTTCCTACCACCTGAGTAGCTATGATTCCAGGCTTGTGCCACTACACCCAATTAATTTTTAAAATGTTTTGTAAAGATGTGGCCTTGCTGTGTTGCCCAGGCTGTTCTTGAACTCTTGGTCTCAAGTGATCCTCTGCCTTTGTCTCCTGAAGTGCTGGGATTTACAGGTGTGAGTCACTGTGCCTAGCCCATTTTTCATTCTTAAATTCAATAATTCACAATATTTTATAAATACTATTATACAAACATCATTAGGAGTAGAAATCTTTAAAAAAAACACCAGAAATCTCAAAATGTTGCTTTTGGTTTTCTTGAGACAGGGAGTGCAGTGGCACAATCACAGCTCACTGCAGCCACAACCTCTCCCAGACTCAGGTTATCTTCCCACCTCAGCCTCATGAGTAGCTGGTACTATAAGCATGTGCCACCACATGCTTGTTTTTTAGAGACAGAGCTAATTTTTTTATTTTTATTTTTTGTAGAGACGGGAGTTTCCCTGTGTTGCCAAAGCTGGTCTTAAAGTCTTGGACTCAAGTGATCCTCCTGCCTTGGCTTCCCCAAATGCTGACATTGTAGGCATGAGCCACTGTACCAAGCTTCAAAATATTTTTATGTTTTGTTGTTCAACCTTGTGATACTAGGCATTATGATTTCAGTGGATTCTTCAGCTTAATTACCTCGTATATTTAGACATTAACTCAGGTGAACTGAATGGCACTGCTGAGCTTTGTAAATAATAGCATTTTAAATATTAACTGAAGTATTTTATCTTAGGAACAGGGTTTTTATAAATGGAGATCTTTTTTACTTGGAATAGAAGAAATTTACTTAAGGTTATATATTTCAAGCATATATAAATAAAAATAGACAACATAATATTAGAGATGACTTCAGAATGTACTCTCCCAAATATTAAAAAGCTGGAGCTGTATAGTCATTTATTAGAGACCATATGTCTTTTAAAATGAAGTGCAGTCGACCCTTGAACAAGACAACTTTAAACTACACGGGTCCACTACTGTGTGTATTTTTTAAAATAAATGTATTGGAATTTTTTTCTGAGATTTGTGACAATTTAAAACTCACAGATGAACTGTGTAGCTAAGAAACAGAAAAAATAAAGGTTTGGTGTATCACGAATGCATAAAATATATGTAGGTACTAGTTTATTTTCTCACTACTATAAAATATACACAAATCTATTACAAAACAAAAATTTATCAAAACTTTCACACAAACTGTACATCATGCTATTCCCAGTTGAGAAAAATGTCAGCAAACATAAAGATACAGTATTAAATCATAACTAGATAACATTAACTAGTACATGTCATACTACTATAATGATTTTCTAGCCACTTCCTGTTACTACAATGAGCTCAGGTGTTGCGAGTATCTACTTAAAATGCTGTGTGATGCTAATCATCTCTGCATGAACAGTACTTTGCTCCAGTAAATTACATATTGCTTTAGAAAGTCATTTCTTATGGTTCTTACCTATTTTCATCATGTTTTGTGCAGTATTCTAAACCTTGAATAACACTATGAGACCCATATGAAGTACCACTAGTGATGCTTCAAGTGCTCCCAAGAAGCAGACAAAGGTCATGACATTACAAGAAAAAGTTTAATTGCTTAATTTTTTTTCTTATTTTGAGATGGAGTCTTGCTCTGTAGCCCAGGCTGGAGTGCAGTGGTGCGATCTTGGCTCACTGCAACCTCTGCCTCTCGGGGTCCTGATTCAAGCAATTCTCCTACCTCAGCCTCACAAGTAGCTGGGATTACAGGCACGAACCACCATGACCAGCTAATTTTTGTATTTTTTAGTAAGACATGGGGTTTCACCATGTTGGCCAGTCTGGTCTTGAACTCCTGACCTTGTGATCTGCCTGCTTTGGCCCCCCCAGAGTGCTGGGATTACAGGCATGAGCCACCATGCCTGGCCTAATTGCTTAATATTTAGCTGTAGATTGTGGTCTGCAGTTGCGGTTGCTGCTATTTCAAACTGATGATTCATCTTGTAAATAGATGGCATAAACATGGTATCAGTAAATACAGTATAGTACTGTAATTGTATTTTTTCTTATGATTTTATTTTTATTTTTATTTTTTTTTCCTTTGAGACGGAGTTTCAGAGTTTCACTCTTGTTACCCAGGCTGGAGTGCAATGGCACAATCTTGGCTCACTGCAACCTCCGCCTCCTGGATTCAGACAATTCTCCTGCCTCAGCCTCCTGAGTAGCTGGGATTACAGGCATGCGCCACCATGCCCAGCTAATTTTTTGTATTTTTAGTAGAGACGGGGTTTCACCATGTTGACCGGGATGGTCTCGATCTCTTGACCTTGTGATCCACCCGCCACGGCCTCCCAAAGTGCTGGGATTACAGGCTTGAGCCACCACGCCCGGCCTTATGATTTTCTTAATAGGATTTTCTTTAGCTTATTATGTATATACTGTATTACATAATATAATATGTAATGCATATAACCTACACAATATGTGTTAATTTGACTCTTCGTGTTATGTATAAGGTTTCTGGTCAACAGTAAACAGTAGGCTATTAGTATTTCAGTTTTTGGAGAGTTGAAAGTTAAATTCACTTTTTTTTTTTTTAGGCACAGAGTCTTGCTCTGTCACCTAGTGCAGTGATGTGATCTTGGCTGACTGCAGCCTCTGTCTCCCAGGTTCAAGCAATTCTCAAGCCTCAGCCTCTAGAGTGGCTGGGATTACAGGCATGTGCCACCATACCCAGCTAATTTTTGTATTTTTAGTAGACATGGGTTTCACCATGTTGGCCAGGCTGGTCTTGAACTCCTGACCTCAAATGATATGCCCGCCTCCCAAAGTGCTGGGCCCCCAGAATGCTGGGCCTCTTAAAGTGCTGGGATTACAGGCGTGAGCCAATGCACCCAGTCCCTAAATGCACATTTTTGACTGCTTAGAGGTCAACTGTAATTTCATGGTACTTGATTAGTATCTGTACTATTGAGTGGAAAAAACTACATGCTGTATACTGACATTTAAATTATTGGAGTATTTAAGAAAAGGTACACCTTAGAAGAAAAAGAGGCATTGGATTTATATCCAGATTATTATTTATGACTTTAAAAAATTACTTCATCTTGTTTTAACTTTCACTTAAATACAGACTTTGAGACTTGTAAAATTCTTCAAATTTTATATTGATGAATTGAATTCAGAATGTAAAAATGTTAGTTTTGGATTCATGTTCTCAGAAGATGCAGCAGGTATGTTAATTACATTTACTATTTCAGTGTGATTTCTACTTTACTTCTACTTGAAGTAGAAACAGCAGAGGGCACTGTAATGTTATCTTTGGTAGGTGAGTCAGTGAAACTGCACTGGAATTACACAGTGATTCATTTGCCAAATATCTATTCAGTCATTTAGAGAGTATTTAGTGAGTATCAGTTATATGCCAAGGGATACAGAAATAAAAATCACTGTCCCTCTTAAACTTATATTTGAATAGTCTACTATTTTATAACTGAAACAGGACATCATCATGATTTTTATATTCCCCAGCCTCTTTTGTCTGTATAGCTGTTAATGCTTGTGAATGGGGTGAGGGAAAACAAATAGACAGATGGGCTGTCTGGGTTTTTTTGGTAAAGAGGTGTACTCTGTGTATTGCTGTTTCTGTGTGCTCTCTTACCTCATGGTTATCAAAATGATGAGTGACTAGAGCTAACTTTACACTTCAGACTGTTTTAAAGTTATTCAAGACATAGACACCTATGTTTTACTGATAGAATACTAAAACCTACATTGATTCTGATAATGGTTCTTTTAATGTATTTTAAATTAGCATTAGATGTTCTGTCTGATACATACAAAAGAATGTGTCATATGTAAATGGGAGTGTAATTATACAATGAGCACTTACTGACCTATCACTCAGCTTAAGAACTAGAATCTTCTATGTATCTTAGGTCTTTCTATCTGCTGCTTTTTTATCCTTGAACCTTCCCCAAGAGAGCATGACTAGATTGTATTTTTTTTTTCCTTTTTATTCTTTGCTTTTTAAAAAATACATTTTTATTTTTTAATTTTTTTTGTCACATGTATTACTAGATTTTGCTTGGTTTTTAATTTCAAAAGAATGGCATCATGGTTTGTATAATTTTCTAGGACTCGATTTTTGTAGTTAGCTTTTTTTTTTTTTTTTTTTTTTTAAAAAAAAAAAAGAGATGTGTCTTGCTCTATTGCCCACGCTGGAGTGCATTGGTGTGATCACAGCTTACTGCAGCCTTGAACTCCGGGGTTCAAGTGTGCTCACACCTTAGCTTCCCTAGCAGATGGGACTACAGATTCCTGCCATGCTGGGATTGCAGCGTGAGCTACCATGCCCAGCTAACTTTTAAAAAAGTTTTTTGTTTTTTTTATTGAGACAGGTCTTGCTATGTTGCCTAGGTTAGTCTTGAACTCTTGGCTACAAGCAGTCCTGCTACCTCAGCTTCCTGAGTAGCTGGAATTACAGATGCAAGCCACTATGCCTGGCTCTAGTTAACATTTTATTTTCAGTATTCAAATATGTTATTTATAGAACTAGATCATTCCTTTTTAGTGCTATATTTTCATTATATGCATATACCACAATTTGTTAAAAATCTTTTTTTTTTCAGTTGATGAATATGCTGTTTTGGTTTTTGCTATTATGAGCAGGGTTGTTGTGAACATTCTTATTCTTGTCTCTTGGTACACACCTGTAAGAGTTTTTCTATATACCAAGAGTGGAATTGTTGGATCCACAGAGTATTCAGTTTTATATAAGAAGCTCAAATTGTTTTCTTAGTGCTTGTATCAACTTATACTCCACTGACAGTGGTTAAGGCATCTCGTTGATCCCATCCTCTTCAGTATATGGTATTATCAGACATTAATTTTTGTTAATCTTACTGAGTATAAAAATTGATTATTATCTTGATTTGTATTTGCCTCATTCCTAAAGAGGATGAACATCTTTTCATACATTTATTGCCTGTTTTCATTTTTCTTCTATGAATCACTCCAAGTCTTTGCCCTATTTTGCTATTATGTTGTTCTTTTTCTATTGATTTATAGAAGTTATTTTTTTAAGAACATTCTAAATAATAACTTTTGTTAATTATGGGTGTTGGAAATATCTTGTTTTGTGCTTTTCAGTTTATGACACCTTTAAATAAATTTATGATTTTAATATTGAACTTACTGATTTATTACTTTTTTGGTTAGTGCTTTTTTGTGTCTTTTTAAGGGAATCTCTGACTCAAGTTTATGAATATATTCTCTTATTCTAAAAGTTTTCAAGTTTTGCTTTTTATATTATGTCTGTAGTCTTCATAGAACTATTATTTGTGTGTGGTAAGAAGTAGAGTTCCATCTACTTTTCCAATATTGATGACCAGTTGATAACCTCATATCATTAACTGAGTAATTTATTTTCCCTATTTCTGTTGTATATCTGGGCTCCGCATATATGTATATGTGTCTGTTTCTGAAAGCTATCTCCTATGCTCTTTAGCTCTTTAGCTCTCTCTGTATCGGTACCATACATTTAAAATTATTTTTTTGTAATTATCTTTAGGAATCAAATGAATCTTGGATTTAGTAACTGATAGAGATACCCAATGCTTTATGATGTTTTATAAAAATATAAAGTTGGTTGATTAATTTATTCAACAGAATTTTATTGAGTATCTTTAGTATGCTAGGAAGCAACACCTTCAATATGGCAGAAAGTTTACCAGGACCTGAGAATTTATGGGAAAATAAGGCAGACAAAACTTCCTTTCCTCATGAAATTTAATGTTTAATAGAGGAAGACAAGCATAAATAAACTATATCATTTCTGATACTGATAGGTGCTACAATGAAAATCATGTAAAGTGATAGAGTAACTGTAAAGTGGTTGGTACTAACCCTAAAAAAAAAAAATGCTAAATTGTGCTGTGTTAAAATTAAGAATGTATCAAAAAGCATCATGAAGAAACCAAAGGGCTTTTCTGAAGAGATGACATTTGAGCCCAGACAACAAATGAGAGGAACTAATAATGTGATGACCTGGGGAAGGAGTATTCCAGGTAGAAGGAGCAAAAGATATAAAGCCCTGTGACAGGGGCAAGATGGCCTTTCTTGAGGAAATAACAAGATGATTATGGCAGGAGCCAAGCAAGTGACAGGAGAGTGGTAGAGAATGAGGTTGGAACAAGAAGCAGGCCAGACTGTGCTGAATCTTCAGGTTATGGATTTTATTGTAAATGTAATGGGAAGCCAGTGAGGATATTTCTGCATACTGGAAATCTAATTTGTGATTTAAAAAGATCACTTGATAAGAGAGAGAAAAATAAAAACATGTCTAAGGGTTTGGCTTGAGAAAGTAGCGGGAGGGGAGTGGTGATGGCACAGACTGAGACTGGGGAGAGGCAGGTTTGGAGGATGAGCAGAATCAAAAATTATATTCTAGATAGATTTGAGATGCCTATAAATAATTAAGGGGTGATTATAAAGCAGGTGGCAGTTGGGTATGTGAGTTTGAGTTTAGGGGGAGATAAAAAGTTGGGAGTCATCAGTCTATAGATTTTTTTAAATAGTGCTTTGGAAAAATGATTTTTTATATTTTGGATGAAAAGTGTAAGTGTTTTCATATTTTTACTTTGGAATCTAAGGAGCTGAAATAAAATTTTCAAAACTTTATTGTAGAAAACATATTAAACTAATTTAATTTAAAAGATGTGGTTATAAAAATGCAAATGTGAAATTATGAATGTCTGTTGAAAAATAGGGTCTATTGAGATGGGATTTCACCATGTTGACTAGGCTGGTCTCAAACTCCTGACCTCAGGTAATCCACTTGTGTTGGCCTCCCAAAGTGCTGGTAAATCAACCTTTCTTAAGATGAAACTCAAGCTTTTATAGGCTGAAATTACAGAAACATAAAATGAAAGAATGTGGAGATCCTCAGGTACTTGGAACTTGCAGTTCGCTCTAGTTCTTCATGGAGTGTTTTCACTTTGTTTCCTCTCTCTGAAACTGGGAGTTGCTCTCCTGTATTAGATTAGTAAGTTGGCCAAATGGGTGAGAAGCAACTTCAAAGCACTACTTAAATTGGTTATTGGGGCAGCAAGCTTTAAGAGGCAGACTTTGGGACCAAAAGATTCTGAGTTAGAATCTTGTCTCTATTACTTTCTGTTTAGCCTCAGGCAAGGCAATCTCTGACTTTCAAGTTTCCCTCTCTCTAGAACAGTTATCATACTGATTTTCCACAAAAAATTAGAAATTAGAGTAGACATTCTGGTGAATGTCAACTATTATTTTATACTGCTAATAATTTGTAGTCTTTCTGATTACTAATGAGGCTGATATCTTTGTATCTTTATTGAGCATTTGTAATTTTTTGTGTGAAATGACTGTCTTTTGCTTATTGTTTTGTTGGTAAATATAGAGAGTAACTAGCTCAATGAAAGGCACACAGAAAACCTTAGGGTGCCTTTCATTATCAGCTAGATATATATTTTCATTTTTATAATGTTTATAATTTGTATATTTGACTTACACATACCTGTCAATTTTTCATGGATCAGTGACAAACTAACATGAAAACAAGATGACTATGAGAATTTATTAAAGGGTTGAGTTGGTAAAATGGATATAACCATCAAGACCATTTCAGTTTTGATCTTATTCCATGTTATTAGCTCTACTATTATGTAAATCTATGGCATTAGTACTAATTATTTTTCTCTTCTTTCCTTGAGCTGTTTTAGCAAATAGTGATGAATCTCAACTTCTGACACCAGGAAAGATGAGTCAGCGCCAAGGAAAAGAAACTTATTCAACGCCAACCAAAGATTTGCATCAGCCATCTCTTAGTCCAGCAAGTCCTCATAGCCAGGGTAGGAAGTTGTGGTTTTCATGTTTTGTTTTGTTTTTGTTTTTGGAGGGAGGAGGGAGAATGACATTTTGGGACTATCTTATTACTATTTTTTTAACTATTTGATTTTATAAGGGGTTTTGTTTGTTTTGTTTAGGTCATCTGTAATACTCTTGAAATGAGTACACTTTCTTTTAGAATTTTAATATTTTTAGTATTCTCCAACATACTTCGTTAGTTATATTATTCATCTAATTTGGTGATTCTCACACTTTTTGGTGTCATGGTTCCATTGTAGTCTTAAAAATTATTCAAGATTGTGAAATGCTTAAGTTTATGTGAGTATGTCTATTGATATTTATTATAAATTAAAACTAGAAATTAAAAATTTTAATTCATTTAAAGTAATAAGCCCGTTACATGTTAATATAAATAATGTTTTTATTAAGAATTACAATATTTTCTCTCCCTCTACCCTCCAAAAATTTGATTGAAAAGGTTGGTATTGATTTCTCCCAGGATTTCTCAACCTTGGCACTATTTCTTAACCTTGGCACTATTTTGACCTGGACAATTCTTTGTTGTGGAGGGCTGTCCTATGCGTTATATGATGTTTCACACTATCCCTGGCCCCTTTCTAGTAGATGTCAGTAGCACTTTCCCCAGTTGTGACAACCAGAAATGTTTCCAGATATTGCCAAGTATCCCTTGAGGGACAAAAATCATCCATGATTGAGAACCGCTTTTTGATAGTTTTCAGAAATTGTTTTATGTCTAGTACTGCATTTTTGTACCTGATGTGATGATCCAATTGAAGTATATGAATAAAATCTGGCCTCACGCATATGTGTGTGTGTGCGTGTGTGTGTGCGCACGCGCGTGTGTGGCTAGAAAAGGAGGATTACATTATTATGTTTTGTACATAATTATAGATATTCTTTGATAATATGCCAAAACTTGACTAGTAGTAATTTTCTTAATGTTAATTGCAATCTGGAATCTGAAATAATATCAGTACCCTTTCCTTAATCTGTTAAAATTCACTGGCCTGTCTCGAATTTTGAATGGCTCTTTACTCATGCGTGATTTTGTAACATCATGCAGTAGACATTTGGAAAATATTTGTTCAGTGAATTATGCAGCTCTTTCAAGTGTTGACATGTTAAAAAATACATTATAGAGAAGGGCTTTATGCACACTTCTCTTTTTGTTGCACAGAATATTAATATCATGTGTACTAAAGGTTCAAGAGCAATAATTTTTACTTCTTCATCAAGGACATCTGTAAGTGAAACTGTCATTCTTCTGTGAGTGTGTGTCTGAAGCATTCAGTGCCTACTACTCCAGTTGGTGCCTCTGCCTTGATTTGTGCTAAGGTGCCAGCAGTTTTACCCAACATTGCTTTTGCTCCATCAGTGAAAATGGTAACATAATGACAAAGTGTTATGAAACTAGTTTTCACCTTGTAGACCCTCTGGAAGGGTCTTTGGGTACTCCCAGGGATTCAAAGGTCACACTTTCTAATTCATAGTTGGTAAGTTTTTTATAATAGATTCTGCTTCTCAGCTGAAGTTTATTTAATCAAATGTACTTAAATCTCCTGTGGTACTACTCGTAGCTGTGGTGGAAGGACTTCTGTTTTTAAAACTGAGAAATGAAATCTGGTGTTTTGAAAGTTAATGTCTACTTAGGTTATTGAGTATTTTGAAAAATTAAATTTAGAGTTCTGTCATACTTTGAGTAATTAGGTTTGATGATGTAACTTTATGAATTATCTTTTGAAAGTTGGCTTTAGTAACTTTTAAAATGAGTACTACCTTGTAGATAGTAAGTTACATGGTAATTTTCTACTATATTTCAATAGATGTTTTTCTAGTCATTTATTAGTTGGAAACACTTTCATATAGCATTGTAAGAACCATAAAAATTTTATGTAACAAGATGAAAATAATTATTATAACATATATTGCTTAGTTGTTGATTGTATTTTTGGAAAGTTAGCAATTTTGTTGCCAAAATGCTTTTTGAAAGACCTGGAAATACACACTCTGGTATAAATAAGCTTCATTAAGATAAAATTCTGAAAGAATGCAACAAACCTGGTTTTTTTCACTGTGCACCAGAATTTTCACAATAATAGATATGGTTTCTCTGATTCATTTATCTGTGCACTAGAATATTTAGAGGAATTCTTTAACTTAGGAGTTAATGAACCAACAAAAGGGTTAGTTACTAATAATTAAACCTACATTTGTTTATATTTGTCATGAATGTTTTCAGGCAAACAGGAAGTTAAAGAGTACAGTGAACACTAATATACCCATTGTGTAGATTAAGCAGTTACTAACCTTTTGTTTTGTTTCATTTATTTGGGGTAGGCTTAAATATTTATAGTAAATTACAGACTTTATGATGTACCCCCAAAAATGTGTCTCTAAAAAATTAGCACATTTTCTTGTATAACCTTTATTACATCTAACAAAATTGATGGTAATTACTTAACATAACCTAGCATCTACTGTATATTTAAATTTTGCCTGGTTTTCCCCATGTCTTTCTACAGTAGGTTTGTTGAAATCAAATAAAATCCATACATCTTATTTGGTTATGTTATTATATCCTTAATGCTAAAGCATCTCGTTTACTTCTGTTTTCTTTTGTGCCTTTGACTGTTTTAAGAAACTAGGCCAGTCAGGCTAGGTGGCTTACTCTCACCTGTAATCCCAGCACTTCGGGAGGCCAAGGTGGGGAGATCACCTGAAGTCAGGAGTTCAAGACCAGCCTGGCCAACATGGTGAAACCCCCTTACCTACTAAAAATGTAAAAAATTAGCCGGGCATGGTGGCCGGCACCTGTAATCCCAGCTACTCGGGAGGCTGAGGCAGAAGAATTGCTTGAAGCCAGGAGGTGGAGGTTGCAGTGAGCTGAGAGTGCGCCATTGTACTGCAGCCTGGGCAATAAGAGTGAAACTTTGTCTCAAAAAATAAAAAAAGAAAAAAAATAGGCCAATATCCAACTGTTTGGCTTTTTCAGATTTGTTTGATTGCTTCTTTGCAGTATTACTTCATTTGTTTCTCTGTCTTCTATATTTTCTGTAAACTAGGAGTTAAATGTAAAGGCTTGATTACATTTAGGTAGAGCATTTTTGGCAAGAACTTTGTAGGGAATGTGTAGTACTTCATGCTGCGTCACATGAGAATTCACTTAATATCTGATTGTCCTGCTGCTAGTGATATGAGATTGATTGGTAGATTTAGGTGAGGATAGCCTGATTCTCTTTATTGAAAGTTGCATCTTTTCCTTCCTTATGACTTGAAAGTGAAGATAAAGATATATTTAGCACCTTGCAAAAATCCTGTTCCTAGTCAACTTTTTGCAGAAAGGTGTTTGAATCCTTTGATGATCATTAATTGAATCAGTTACAATATTAGGAGTTGAAAAATGGTGATTTTATAATTCTGTCATGTTTACATTTGTTAATGAAATTTTTCTTTAAAGAAGAGATCATCACTTAGAGTTACTTGGTAAATGTGAAATATAATTAGTTCTTATAGAAAAGGTAGGCTATGTGGGTATTTGTTACTGCAAAGTATTAATTTTTTGATTGAAGGCATAATGTGAAGTCTGCTTCCAGTGGTGACAAATTCTTTTTGCCTTTTAAGTATTTTTAATATCATAATAAACTCACGGATTTTAATATATTCATTGTTTCAGTCATTGATAAAATGAAGATAATAGTATTTAGCACATAGGATTTTAATATGGTTTAAAATGGATTAATATGTATGCATTAATCCTGGTAGATGATAACCACCCACGATAGCTGATATAATAATAATAATTGTTATTATTACTGTGATCAGTATCTTAAATAAAAAATATCCCATTTGGGTTGAAGGCTGACATTTCAGGCTTTGCTATACTTCAAGATCTTTGAGAGGCTCATTTAGAACTTCTTTTAGTATGGATGGCCCATGTACAACTTTCTCATTTTTGCATTTAAGACAGCCACAGTGTTAGTCATGTCTTCATTTTCACTTAAATGTTCCTAGGTAAGTTTATGAATAAATTAATATTTGTAGAATCAATTACATAATAGATGTACTTCTTTGTTAAAGTCAATACATTGGCTTTTTGTAAAGCAAAATATCTTCGTCTAGTTTATCCACTGAAATTCCATATCATGTTTTTAACATGTGGGATATTTGTCTGAAATAAGATTATTTGTTAGCTTTTGGTTATGGTAAAGATTAACCACTGGAGGAGATAAACAAATGTCCAGCAAACCTCTGATGTATCTGCCATATCTCAAGTACTAATGACCAGTATTTTACCTTCTGAATGGAAAGAATTGAGTCTCAAAAGCTTATTGATAATAATAGTGAATAACATTTAAAAGTCCTCATATCTCTGAGGGCTTTTGTACGCATTAGCTCATGGAATTCTTACGAGGACTTTATGGTGTATAAATCATTGTTCTCCCCATTTTACAAATGAGGAAACTGAGCAGTTGGTAAGGTTTACAACATGTTTTCATAGTATATAATAGAGCTAAAATTCAAACTTAGATAAAACTCAAACTTTTTAAGTTACAGTCAATTTTGACACGTTTTTGGAGGTTCAAATTTTTCAGACTTTGACTCTTGAGTATTTTGATAGAATTACATTATGCGTACAATGCTTTGGAGATATTTTTTTGGGGGGTAGTACCTAGGAGTGCAATTGCTAAGTCATATGGTAAGTGTTTATTTTACTTTATAAGAAATGGCCAAACTGTTTTCCAAAGTAGTTGTAACATTCTTACATTCCTCTTAGCAATGTGTGAGCAGTCCAGTTGCTCTTCATCGTTGATCTCATTCCAGTAGATATTTAGTGGTATCATATTGTGGTTTCAGTTTACATTTCCCGCATTGCTAATGCTTATTGGCCACCTTTAACATCTTCCATTTGCAGAGTATCATTTCATATTTTTGCCCAATTGAAAATTGTCTTCCTTGTATTATTACATTTTAAGGATTCTTC